TATTTCTGACCAACATAATTAGTTAAGCTGTGAAGCCACCTGAGCCTTCCTGGAACAGCTTCTCAACTCCATCCTCCATTTGTCCCCACCCCGTATACATACCTCTACCTTTCCACATTGGTAGGCACCTGCTCTGTACCTGGCACTACGCTAAGTCAAGGATCTTACACTTTGATAAGCAAGTATTAACCCTTATTGCATGGTGTTGCAATTATTCCTTTTCCTATCAACCTCCTTGAGAGTAAAGACTCTATACAATTCCTATCACACAGTAGGGTCTACACAGGAAACAACTGGCACACTCAAATTAGGATAAGTCAAGGCAAATTTAAGAAAAGGACTATTTACAGGCTGGGCGTGGTGGCTCACGCTTGTAATCCCAGCACTTTGGGAGGCCGAGGTGGGTGGATCACAAGGTCAGGAGTTCCAGATCAGCCTTCCCAATAGGGTAAAACCCCAACTCTACTAAAACTACAACAATTAGCCTGGTGCGGTGGCGGGCGCCTGTAGTCCCAGCTACTCAGGAAGCTGAGGCAGGAGAATCGCTTAACTTGGGAGGCGGAGGTGACAGAGTGAGACTCTAACTCAAAAAAAAAAGAAAAAAAAAGAAAAAAAAAAAGGGACTATTTACAAAGGTGTGGGTATGGCGTAGGGAAACCATCAGGGGTAGCTAGTGTCACCCCCATGCCTAAAGAACAAAGGAAGGTAATTTAGGAAGGGAAAGTCACAGAAAGGGCCATGTCAACAGGAGCTGTGGTGTTCAATGAAAGGATCCAACCAAGCTGTAGAGGTGGCCAAAGGAATAAATCCCCCAACTCATTCTCCTCCCACCCTCCACTGGAGTCCCTACTGTGCAAACATAATGAAAGCCAGAGGACAAGGTTATATTCATGGTGCAGAGAGCAGAATGGAGAAAGGTGGAGAGAGGATATGGAAGGGCAAACAGCTTTGTAGGGTCAGCACTCAATACATGTATGTAGAATTAGATTATTGCTACTACATGTATGCGGACAATTTCTAGTTTCTCTTTCCTCATTTTATTTTAGTTCTCAAGTAACTCTATTAGTGTTCTTGTTGGCAGATTTTCCTGATACTTGCAAGTTTAATTCTCATCTTCCTCTCTGCTATAGAAACATACGCACCAACGCTAAAAGGAAAACTGTCCTGAATCTACCTTCCCAATAATCAGTGTCTCCTCTTGAAACCCTGATGAAAACTAAGACTCCTCTATCTTTATCTTTCCATGCTCTTCTCCCCTCATCCTCTGAGGGATTCCTTAATCATGTGTAACTGTCGTCCTCTCCATCCTGTACACCTAAATGTAACAAAATCATGGGCCCTTAGGGCCATAGGAGGCTGACGTGGAAACACAGAACAATCTCCTTGCAGTGGGGACAGGGTGCAGTGGAAGAGATGGAGATCATGGCAAAGGGAGTGGGGTGGCACAGAGCTTCCACTTGCAGACATTTTGGATTCTTACGACAGACTGGGAGATACGAAAGGAGTAAGTCACAAAAGGAAGTCTGAAGAAGAGGTAACTTCCTGAAATTCAGAAGGAACTCCAGGAACAGAACTCAGATGTGGGCACAGGAGACGGAAGATAATCTGTGTATACAGTAAGGAGGAAATGCGTGCCTTCTCTTCAGTCTACTCCCCCACATGTATTCTAAAAAGACAAAATCACACTTTTGCTTAAGGCCGGTCTTCTAGGCGAGCAAAGTGCAATTTCAGCAGATTTCTGCCCAAAATAAATTCTCTCCTCCTCACCAAGAACTGAAATTGCTATCACAAGAAACAATCTTTCATTTCATAATTAAAGGACAAGTTCAAAATTCAAATGCCTAGGTTCCTGAATGACATAGAGAAAATAATGCTGTTTCTACTAGTGTAAATGAATAATATCATGTCTTTTCCCTACACAGAAAAAGTGAGTTAAAGCACAAAAAAGCCCATGGCCTCAGATGAAGTGCAGAGAGAGATTTCAACCTAGAGAAGATAAAGGAAAGTGGGTCTAGACACAAATGGCACACTTTGCCAACTTCTTAATTTTGTGTAAAGGCAACTCTGTCCAGTTTAGGGTATGCATGGATATCCAGAATCAATGCGCAGACACTGAGCTTAGGAGGGATTTTGATTAAGACGCATGTATCACAACTGTATAAAACCAGGAAGTCCCATAACACTCCCTGGTACATACTGGGCATTCAATAAATATTTCTTGAATGAATGTGTGGTATAATTAGGATTATACTGCTGTGAGCTAGAGTGGGGACTAGGGAGAGAAGAGAAGGGAGAGAACAAGCATTCATTGAGAGCCTGGTATGTGCCAGATGCTATTAACTGTTTCTCATTAATCCTCCAAATTCTTTTGTAATTTGTACAGATGAAAAAACTGAAATTCAGAGAAGATAAGTAACTTTATCCAAGCTGAGAAACAGTAGGCTAGAACTCAAAGACCTATTTAACTCTAGAGCAGTACGCACTACTCAACTTAGACTCCTCGGAAAGGGCCCTGTAGCAAGCCTGGAAGGTTTCATGGGAAAACAGACACAAACTGAGCAAGAGCATGAGAATGTTAAGACTATAGGGTCAGAAAGAATGTGTGTTAGAGGAATGCCTGCAGTGTTTTAAAAAATCATCACTCAACGTTGTTCAAAAGATGAAGTCATGAAATGATGGTCTTCTCTGTTTTTTCCTGCTCACACACAGTTTTCCTGGATGCACCCAACACCCTGAGATAGCACTTGAGCATGTGTGGCTCATCGATCACTAAAATAAGAGGTGAAGAGATTGTTAACCAAAAAAACAAACCTATACTTTAAAAAAATTCATTAAAGATGATGTAACTTTACACAGATAATGATAGATGATAGATGATTGATTGATAGATAGATAGATAGATAGATAGATAGATAGATAGATAGATAGATATAGGCTCCATAATGGTCCCCATAATTCACCAACTTTGGGGCTACACTTTAACCTTAGATCTCTGCTACACCTCCACACAGTGGCTTGTTCCTCTGGGTTGTGGCAGCACGGCAGCACTGAAAGTGGTTGTGAGTCTGTTAAGTCTCAGGGGGAACCTGTGTTATTGTAGGGGGCTCAAGAGAGCACAGAGGGCCACGGTAGTGGGCCTTCTGGTGGCTTTTATGGTGTTGAGGGTAGGCTGGGTCCTGGCACAGGGTGGAGTAGCCTGAGTGCTGGACCAAATAGGGCCCTGTGAAATTCTGGTGACTCTGATGGTGGTGGCCTTCTTTCAAGTAATGAGAGGAAAACAACACAGAATTTAAACAAATGCCAGGCCTACTACCTTGACAAGTTACATTGCCTGGAAAATGCCAGTGCTGACCTTGCACTCAAAATTAAAAGAAGGCATGGGATTTTGGGGGAAAAAATTGATGGTCAACCTCGAGACTACAGCAAACATTACAACACTATCAAGTACCTTAAAACTCAGTTGTCTTAAATGTAGAAAATACAACCCTTTCTCCTGGCCAACATATATTGTATCTGATGCATCTAATGTCGAGAAAAATGTCTAATGTGCATAAAAATTAATATGAAATGGCTCAACATTCATTTGAAAAACATTCTTCTGTATTTCAGAAGCTCTAAAACAATGTATTTAGCTGAAAAGTTCTGTAATAGTCCCAGAAAAATTTAAATTTACTGTTTATCTAATTTATATTTATACAAATATAATTTTTTGAGACAGGGTCTTGCTCTGTTGCCCTGGCTGGAGCATAGTGGCACGATCATAGCAGCCTCACCCTCCCAGGCTTGAACAATCTTCCCATGTCAGCCTTCCAAGGAGGGACTACAGACATGTGCCACCATTCCCAGCTAAATTTCTTTTCTGTAGAGATGGGGTCTCACTATATTGTTTAAGCTGATCTCAAACTCCTGGACTCAAGTGATCCTCCAGCCTCAGCTTCTCAAAGTGCTGGGACTACAGGCATGAGCCGCCATGACTAGTACAAATATAATTATGATTGACAAACTTGTAATTGTTGAAATCCATGAAGCATATAATCTGGACCTAAAGGCACCCAACATATTTTGTTGAATTATATGTTTCCTTTTCCTCCCTTGAAGGTAACAAATGTTACTTTGGAAAATGCCAACATTCCACATTAGATCCACAATGCTAGGCTCACTATGGATGACTTCAAGCTTAAGTAAGTTCAGAAACCATGTAAAGAACTGATTTAAAAAAAAAAAAAAAAACCAACTCCCCGATTCACCACTTTAAACAGTTACTACAAAACTTACAATATCATTATTTCATATTATTAAACATCTCAACATAAAACAATCTCTTTTATGTTTAAATTACAATAGTGGTCATAGGCTAGCAATGCGAAAACTCCCAGGCTAGAGATTTGAAATCTCACATATGGTGTATGACTCTCCAATCCACAGGTCAGAGACTGGTTTTTATAGAACTGCAGGAGGTCCCCCCTACTGTACTTGAATTTTTTTTTTAACTGGGGAGACACAGTCCTTGTAAAACAAAGGTGCATTCCCCTGTACATGAAAAGGAGCTTGCTTCCTTTCCTAGTCAAAGAGCAGAGGGGAGATTTTCACTCTTTCATAGCTTTAATAATGTTATTCTTACCATATACTGAACACTGATGCTGTGCTAGGCACTTTTGTACATTAACTCAATTCTCATATTCCCATTTTAGCCGGGCGCGGTGGCTCATGCCTGTAATCCCAGCACTTTTTGGGAGGCTGAGGCAGGTGGGTCACTTGAGGTCAGGAGTTCGAGACCAGCCTGGCCAACATGGTAAAACACCGTCTCTACTAAAAATACAAAAATTAGCCAGGCATGGTGATGCACACTTGTAATCCCAGCTACTTGGGAGGCTGAGGCGGGAGGATCGCTTGAACCTGGGAAGCGGAGATTACGGTGAGCCAAGATCACGCCACTGTACTCCAGCCTGAGTAACACAGCGAGACTCGGTCTCAAAAAAAAAAAATAAAATAAATAAAAATAAAAATAAATTCCCATTTTAATGATGAGAAGACACAGGTTCAGAGAATTAATTTGCCCAAGGTGATAGCTGAACATGGCAGAGGTGCAATTTGAACCCATGTCTTCACACCCCAGTGCTGTGCTCTTTAAGCTCCACTATGTGGGACATCTTATTACCACTGGATGAGGAGACCTCCATCTAAGCTGTATTGATTCTTCTAATTGGGCTCTGTTCAGATACCAGAGTAAAGTTGTCCTTTATCAGTGTGTTGAGGCTGATAGCAACGGCCTGCAAAGTGTCTTGGATGAGTTGACTTTGAACAAGACTAACCTAGAGTTGCAAATGGAAAGCCAGATGGAGGAGCTGAATTACCTCAGAAACAATCATGAAGAGGAGGGAACTACACAAAATGAATTTAAAGTTTCAGTATGTCAATACCTGCCAAGATACGGTGGTGGCGGCTATCATTGTAAGAGACATTCTTTTCCTAAAACACAGGTAAAGTAACATAGACTGTAAGGCAAAACTTACCTCTCACGATGACAGTGAAAATCAAATAAACTACTTGTATTAAAATATTTTGTAAAAATTAAAAAATTATTCCTTTATATTGATCCCAAATATGTTCATAATAGGGTTGCCAGATAAAAACACAGAACTCTCAGTTTAAATTATAATTTCAGGTAAACAATGAATAATATAACAGATACGTCCCAAATATTGCATGGAATATAGTTATACTAAAAAAAGTATTCAATGTTTATTTGAAATTCAAATTTAATTGGCATTCTGTATTTTATTTGCTAAATCTAGTAACACTATTTTGTTGTCTCCTAGAAATTTCTTTGAAACCTTAAAAAAGATTTCTAAACTCTACATTTTCAGTTTTAAATTTTTAATTTCTTTAAATAATCATATTCCAGATGCAAGATCAAGTAACCTGTGGCATTTTATTTTATTTTGGATCAGGAGATGAAGGGTGACAATGATAAGGTACCTTATGTTGAGGTAAATATAGAAAACAAACGGCCCCAGGTGTGGACCTGACTGTCCTGCTGAACCAGACAAGAGAGTAATATGAGGCTTTGCCACAACAAAGCCACAGAAAGGCTAAGGCCTGGTTTAATGTAAGGTAAGCCTATCACCACCAAAACAAAACAAAACAATACCCAATATTAAGCAGAAGCCATGAAAACTAGTATAAGTATTTATATTTTTATTCCACTCTAACACCTCAGAGTAAAGAACTGATGGGCAGGCCTCAGCTTCTGCTGACAACTGCCAACCGGCATGAGATTGCTGAGCTGAGGTGGACTCTCCAGACACTGGAACTGGAACTCCAGGCCCAGTGGCCTCTGGTAAGAATGCTGCAACGTGAGATCCTTGAGATAGACTGACTTGTTGAAGATGAAGAGAAAACTGAGAGCCTCCGGTACAGTTGTTGAAGAGCAACCACCAGCCAACACCAACAAGACAAGGAAGAAGAAGTCCTTCTCTCAACCGATGTCCGGAAGACAAGGAAGAAGAAGTCCTTCTCTCAACCGATGTCCGGAAGCACGAAGAAGACTCCCAAGATGGCGAAGAAAGGAAAACAACTTGAGGAGAGCCAGGAAGAAAAATGCTTCACAAAAATACGTGGCTTCAAAAAGACTTGAGGAAGGGAGCAGGCCAACACCCTCTGACCACAGTGACCAGCTGAATGAGGAGCTCCAACAGAATGAGCTGCAGCCAGAGCAACAGAGTGAGGGACACAGCCGGAGCAACAGAGTTAGGGGACACAGCCGGAGCAACAGAGTTAGGGGACACAGCCGGAGCAACAGAGGGGGAGGATGCCACCATCTCAACTCTCTCCCTGAGCAGCGAGTAATTTCACGGCAAGCCCAGAGACCTAGGATCCATCTGAGAAGTCTGTAGAGGTCTGACCCAGAGAACTCAACAACAGGGTACGCCCCATGGTGATGAAAATAAAATGAATCTGTTGTAACAGGAAAAAACAAAAAAAGTTACAACGTGTTGCTTTGAAATTCAACAGTATATTCACACATGACATGTCTGGTCACAGATGTCTCAAAACATTTTGTATCTCCACAGTACAATGTTTGCCCTGTAAAATTTAAAAGCAATTCTTTAATTTTAAACTATAGAAGAACAGTAAATTTGGATAAGAGAGAAAGACACAATACCAGGAGTAAATATACTTACATGGTTTCTTTAAAATTACAGATTAAGTTCTATGTGGTACTAGTTTACAGCATTCTGCACTATTCTTCTACATTGCAATTTTTGATGAGTCGTCTTTACTTTTATTTTCCATTCCTTTCCTCTTTTATTTTTTTTTAAATTTTATGGATATGGGGTACATGTGATATTTTGATATAAGCATACAATGTGTAATGATCAAATCAGGATAATGGGGATATTCATTACCTCAAACACTTATTTCTTTGTGTTAGGAACATTCTAATTTCACACTACTTATTCAGAATATACAGTGAATTTCTGTTAACTATAGTCACTCTATTGTGCTAGTGAACACTAGATCTTATTCCATCTAATTGTAATTTTGTACCCCATCAACCAACCCCTTTTTATCCCCTGCTCTCTCTCACCCACCTCCCTACTGTCCTCCTAGCCTCTCTGGTAACCATTATACTACTCTTTATCTCAATGAGATCAACTTTTTTAGCTCCCACATATGAGTGAGAACATGTGATACTTCTTTTTAATCTAGTTTGACAGAAACTGAAAGTAACCACTGTTACAATATGTTACCCCAATATAGCTTGTGGAGTCTTCATCCCTGAAGAGTTTTGAGATGGAAGGAAGTAAGCAGAGGAGGGAGGGAAGTAGGAAATTCTAACTAGACCAAATTTAGCATTTATATTCCAGATGCCAAGAAGGAAAAAAAAATGCAACATCTTATAGCTCTGCAAATATGCACTCATTTATATCTAAGCTTTAGACTAGAAAATTCTAACTAGCTCCACATTTCAATCAAAATTAACAATATGGAAAATATTTGGAGAGACAGCAAAAAGTTTAATAGTTTTTGAATGTATATAAATTGGAAACTTTCAAAGCACAGAACCCCTCCATGTCACAGTTTACTACTAAATTAATTCAGATACACACCTTGCGTTCACCGTTGTATTCCTCAAGACTTAAAAAACCTGATGAAAAGTGGTTAATCTCCATAATGGGTGTTAGCGCCATCTGAAAAAGCCAGCATTATAAAAGCATTAATGTTTCAATTATGCATGGTGGCTAACTGCTGTGATTTGTTATTTTTAATGACTAGTCTGCCAAAGAGTTAGGAATCTCCATAAACCCATGCCAGACGGTCCCTCAAGAAGTTAGGGCAGAGTCTCACCTGGGAACAGACAAGGCCTACAAGTCTGATCTCTTCCAGGGCAGGACATCTTGCCTCATTAGTTCTTTTTCTTTTCAAATTAGTCTATTTTTTCATCACAAAAGGAATGATAAGGAAGGCTTGTCTAGTCTGAAAAAGAAACTAAAATCCCTTATGTTCTTGTTAATTTTCCAAGTCACATGACCGAAAAATACAATTTTAGCTCATTTCAAAAGAGTTTTAGAAGTTACTCATTGTTTAAGCCAGCAACAGTGTGTTTAAAAAAAGAAAAAACAGTTAATCATTGTGTTTTTAAAAAGCTCTGAAGATAGGTCTGTGTTCAAATCCCACCAAAGTCCCTTTATTGAATAGTTTTGGGCATGCTAAATTTTAACTAATTTCTTTTCTTTTTCGAGGGGGTTTGTGGGGAAAAGGGTCTCGCTGTGTCACGCAGGCTGGAGTGCAGTGGTGCAATCACAGCTCACTACAACTTTGACCTTTCGGGCTCAGGCGATCCTTCCACCTCACCCTCTTGAGTAGCTGGATCCACAGGTACGTGCCATCACACCAGGCTTTGTGTGTGTGTATGTGCGTTTTGTAGAGACGGGGTTTCGCCATGTTGCCCAGGCTGGTCTCAAACTCCTGGACTCATGTGAATCCTCCTGCCTTGGCTTCCCCAAGTGACGGAACTACAGGCGTGAGCCACTGCGCCTGGCCAACTAATTTTAGTTAAAATAAAATTTCTGGCCAGGCATGAGGGCTCACGTCTATAATCCCAGCACTTTGGGAGGCTGAGGCGTGTGGATCACCTCAGGTCAGGAGTTTGAGACCAGCCTGACCAACATGAAGAAACCTTGTCTCTACTAAAAATACAAAATTAGCAGGGCATGGTGGCGCATGCCTGTAATCTTAGCTACTCAGGAGGCTGAGGCAGGAGAATCCCTTGAACCTGGGTGGCTGAGGTTGTGGTGAGCCGAGATTGCGTCACTGCACTCCAGCCTGGGCAACAAGAACGAAACGCCGTCTCAAAAAAATAAATAAAATAAAATAAAATTTCCCTCATAAAGTTGCCAATAGGATTTGATGAGACAAAAATGCAAGTAAAGTTTAGGACAGGCCTTGGAACATAAAAAAGTCTCAACAAGCTCTATCAACTCTATCTTAGGACTGACTTTGCAAATGCTATTTGCATATTTGTTTAATAAGTTTAACACAAGACATCAAAAGTTCTTTGGGCATTATCAATCGTCAGCCTTGTGAAAGAAGCCACAGAATGGTTACGGTACATTTTCTCTGTCACTATTGTGTGTTACATTTAAATAATTATTTAAATCTATTCCTCTACCATTCTTACAACTCCCTTACCAAAAAAAAAAAGTGATTCAAAGACAGAGGCCCATTTATTATGAAAGACTAGTAGTCTGAGTCCATAAGGTCAAGTACTTTTTAAAAACCTTTAAAATTAGGAAATTAATTTGACTCCCTAAGACTTTTTCCTTCAAATTTAAGCACATTACATATACTCACTTAAAACCACTAGAATGGGGGATTACTGCTTTCACTGTAAATGTTAACCTCTGTATGTACCATTTCTAATCCAAAACTTTCTCTGTTCAGACTAAGTAAAAATTATGATCTGTCCAGACTCTCTAAGTAAAAATTATGAAGTTATACCCAATTATAATGTTATTTTCTCTCATATCCAGCCATCCTTGAAATGACCAATTGGATAAGCAACCACAACTGGACCTAAAGGAATTTTCTTAGATTTATGAGGGGGAGAAAACAGCCACTGAATTTTGGACAATGTTCAGTTTCAATATTTTAAAATTGGAGTCTGTAGACAATTGCTTGTTTGGTACTTTCGGCTTCACTATTTTTTATGAAAACTAAAAGGGATATTATGTTTCTATTTTATGTTCTATATTAATTAATTCTCCTCCTAATGCAGCTAACTCATAGTGAGCAATTGTCTTTTACAAAATGAAATTAATTTACCTGAAAAGAAATTTATGACATACTAATGAAATTTAAAAGCTAAGCTGTGTTATAGTTAATCCTTAAATTACAACATACTCTTAGGCTAGCTAGCCAGAAACCCAACTAGAATTGTCAATTCTCCTAATATAAAAAATTTCAAAATTTTTACCTTTGTATAGATCCATGGTAACTGTATTATTCAGGGGGAACAAGAGAGATTTCAATACAGGCAACAATGCATAATCACACCCAGATAAAAGGGGTACCTATCACCTCAAGCATTTATCATTTATTTGTGTTACAAACATTCCAATAATATTCTTTTAATTTAAAATGTACAATAAATTATTGTGACTATAATCACCCTATTGTGCTATCAAATACCAGATTATATTTGTTCTATCTAATTATATTTTTGTACCCATTAACCATCCCCACTTCCCCAGCCTCGGGTAACCATTATTCTACTCTCTACCTCTATGAGTTCAATTGTTCTCATTTTTAGCTCCCACAAATGAGAAGTTTATCTTTCTATGCCTGGTTTATCTCACTTAACATACTGTCCTCCAGGTCCAGTCAAGTTGTTGCAATAACAGGATCTCATTCTTTTTTATGGCTGAATAGTACTCCATTAAGTATATGTACCACATTTTCTTTATCAGTCCGTCTGTTGATGGACACTTAGGTTGTTTCCAAATCTTGGCTATTGTGAGTAGTATTGCAAAAAAAAATGAGAGTACAGATGTCTCACTGATATACTGATTTCCATGATTTTGGGTATATATCTAGCAGTGGGACTGCTAGATCATACAGTTCTATTTTTAGCTTTTTAAGGAACCTCCATACTGTTCTCCATAGTGGCTGTACTAATTTACATTCTCAAGAAAAGTGTACGAGGGGGTTCCCTTTTCTCCATATCCTCACTAGCATTCATTATTGCCTTTCTTTTGGATAAAAGCCATTTTAAGTGGGATGAGATATACAACAAATTAGTGTGACTGTAATAATTTACATTATTACATTCAACTGCAATGAGAATTACATTCTCATTGCACAGTTTTGAGTCATTTCTCTGATGATCAATGATGTTGAGCCCCTTTCTATATACCTGTTTGCCATTGTATTTTTTTTTTTTTTTTTTTTTGAGGTCACTCTGTTGCCCAGGCCAGAGTGCAGTGGCATGAACATGGCTCACCTCCGTCTCCCAAGTAGCTGGGACTACAGACACATGCCACCATACCCAGCTAATTTATTTTTATTTTTTGTAGAGATGGGGTCTCCCTATGTTACCAAGGCTTGTCTTGAATTCCTAGGCTCAAGCAGTCCTCCCGCCCTAGTCTCCCTAAGTGCTGGGATTAGAGGTGTGAGCCACCATGCCTAGCCTGTATGTCTTCTTTTGAGATCTGAATGTCTATTCAGTTCTTTTGCCCATTTTTTAATCAGATTATTAGATTTTTTTTTTCCTATTGAGTTATTTGAGCTCCTTATGTATTCTGGTTATTAATCCTCTGTCAGATGGATAGTTTGCAAATATTTTCTCTCATTCTGTGGGTTGTCTCTTTACTTTGTTGACTGTTTCCTTTGCTGTGCAGAAGCTTTTTATTTGATGTGATGTATGAAAAAAA